TGTAACAACGTTCATTTGCGCGTTTGCGCGTTTGCGCATTTGTTAATTATTTAATTGTTATTTATTTGTTATCAAATTGTTTTTTTACCGTAATTCAAATATTTTGTTTACTCTGTTTCTATGACTTTTCTAATAAGATTGTCCCTGTAGATAATTATTGGTAGGTATAGTCCGTGTCACGTGGGCAGTATTTTGTCTTGTTAAAGATCAACAGGTTTAATTCTCATATCGCCGCCTCAAAACACCTTATCTATATTGACATTTGGGTAATTATTTCAGGATTTTAGAACATCGTATCAAGCAGACTATCCGTTTCAACTCAGCCTCTGGAAGACGCCGAAGACGTGTGAAAAGACATATCTAGAGACAATTCTAGAGTAGGTATAATCGCTGATTTTTGTGTATTTTTAGTTTTATTTTTTTAAAAGTAATCCAATATCAGATATTCTGTATGTACCGTTAATTTTTGTTGTAGTAAAACGTTTGTTCTGAGACAAATTCTGAGATCAAATTCAATCATGTTTGTCGTGTTTACCTAAGTCAACGTATACAACAGATACCACACGCCAACTCCAAGTATTGCATTATTAAAGAAGTATTCATCAAGCTACCTGAAGGTAATGATTGGAATCCTTTAATTACTTAGTTATTACAAATTATTGTTTTTGAACATTGATTGGTTTAGCTTGCACATTTATATATTAGTATACCTATAGAAAAACAGTTGACTATTTTCAAATCAGATTTCAGTATGATTAAAATTTCTATGTTGACTAGTCTTCACATTGTATTATCAAAATATTTTATTTTTAGGAACTTTCCTAGTTTTAATTTTGTATTATGACTGTTTTTACATATACAGTGTTTAGAAAGTAAACCTTTTTTTTAACAACATTCAAGGGTGTATTTTTCACTGTTGGGTAATTCCAGAGATTCATAATTTTACAATTTAACATTTTAATTTTGAAATTTAATGTCAGGTATACAATTATACTTTCCTTTGGCAAGTAAGCTAAAGATCAAACTTAATAGTATGCAATCACTGACTATAACAGAGTTGACAGCGGAATTGCATAGGTAGTTTCCTATTTATATTACGTTGGACGGTTTTAACTTTTAGTGGATATTGGGGTGAGATTAGTAGGTATCTGTTAGCAATGTAATAATTTGTAGTGAAGTCTGGAAAATATTTTGACTGTTCAAATTTTTAAGCCTTTATATTATGTAAGGCTGCATTTGTGAAATACCATAATATATAAAATTGTTTTATTTTTAAACCAATATTTCAGTTACATAAAAAAATTGCTATAACTGCTATAAAAATTTAAATGTATTTTTATTGATCGTTTAATCTCATTATAATCGATTCTCTTCATCTTTTATCAAAGTTGGATATTCAATTAAATAAACAGTTATATTATTTAATATACAACAAATAAACAGTGAACCAATTTTCTACAAAATCAACTTTGTTGTCTTTCAAAAACAAAAATGCCAAATTATTTTATATATTATAATTTTATATATAAAAAAAAATTTAAAAAGGTGGGAAAGTGAGTGTCGCTCTGCTATACAATAGGTTACAAGTAGATCACTGTACTGGAAGGTCTTAAATTTGAATTCAATGATATAGGTAATATCATTGTATATCAAAAACGATTCTGAGATGGTCAGTCAGCCTATACCTACCTACCTATAGATAGTATATTTGATGATATTATTGTGCAAAAAAGTAATTTATTAACCTATTTAAGAGGAACCTCGTTATAAATTTTCAATCTTTATCTATAAAAGTTGAACATTTTATAAATTTTTAAGTACAACATCAATTTTAAATTTGATAAATGTTGTTGAAATTCAAACTTTAAATGCTTATTGAAAATTGTGCCTATGTATTTTTAATACTTTTCAACTATTATTGCTACAATATATCAGGAGTCTTGTATTATATTTTCAAGCTTTTTGACCCAACGAATAAAATTTTATCGACATTTAAAAAAAAAAGAAAAAATTGAAAATTAAAAATGTCTGTAAACAGCTCCTAACGAGTCAAAATATTTTCAAAATTGTATGGTGTAAAGAAAATGAAAATATAAACATTCAGAGAAATTTTCATGTGTCTACAGTTATTTGTTTTTGAATTACAACAAAAAGAAAATTTCTGCATGAGAAATCGAGTGAATATCCAATGCTGTAATAATATGAACTTCAAACAAAAATTTAATTTAACTGTTTTGTAAACATTTTTTTTTTATAAAGGTAGACTTTTATAAAGAATAGCTCCTCTCAGAATCTAAAATATTTTGATTAGTTTTTATTCTATAAATTAAGAAAAAACATTTTCGGTTCTGAGCGGAATGTATTGATTTTACAATGATGTGTGTATAAATATATTTTATTTTTTGTCTGTGTACACGATAAGTAGTTGAAATAATGCTTAGATTTTTATCTTAAGTATCTTGTCTGATTTGAAAGTGAATCATTCGTTCAGTTGATGCATTGGGAAGGTCAAAACTTAAAATCCCCAGGAGTTTTTAAAAGCGCCAGGAAAAACAAATATAAATTAAGGAAAAAAAAAGAATTTTTACACAAAATCGGTGTAGCTTTAAAACAAATGACCCTAGATTTATGCAATTTTCACTGAATGTTTACATTAGCATTTTCAATATACCATAAAGGGATAAAATGTTCAAAATATTTTGAGTTGTTTTGAACTATTTGCAGACAACAATGGCTAAAAATAGTACTTTTATTTTATAAGCATTTAAAGTTCAAATTTTGACAAAATACGTAAAAATCATAAAAATGTAAAAATTATTTGGAATTGGAAATTTATTGAAATTTTTCTTTTTAAGTCTAAGATTTGAAAATTTTAAACATGATTCCTTACAAGTTTTTCTATTTTTATCAATAAAAAATATATCTACTGGTTAGTCAAATTAAATTTTTATGAGTGTTTAAAGTTCATATTTTTACAACATTTTATATTCACTAGATTTCTCATGTAGCAATTTTACTAAATTAATAACAATTAAACGAATAACCGTAGACACTTGGAATTTACACCATATGTTTATTTTATCATTTTCTATACTATAAATTTCTAAAAATTTCAAAATATTTTGACTCATGAGAAGTTGTTTACGGACGTTTTCAATTTTCAATTTTTTTAGTTTTTCTTTTCTATAGTCGTCAATAGTAATTTTATTTGTTGGGTTAAAAAACTTTAAGAATTCAATTCAAAGTGTTGGTACAATAAGAGCTTAAAATATTAAAAATACGTAGGCAAGATTTTTTTATAAGCTTTTAAAGTTCAAATTTTTTCATAATTAATCATCAAATTTACAAATTATTTTGTTGTTAAAAATATATAAAATGATCAATTTTTATAGCTAAGGATTGAAAATTTAAAACAAGATTCCGTGTAAGTAAGTTATTCTGTAATCTAAAAATTTAAAAAATATATAAACACATTTTCTTTTATAGTTATTTTATGTTCAAATTTGGAGGAAATTACATATTGAATAACCAAGAATAACGATTTTAATTATTTTTTTGCAATTGTGTAATACCTATTAATGCAACTTACTCGTTACCGGCTACCGTATTAAAAATAAGTAATAACAATGTAAATATAATACAAAATATCCTAGACTGACAAATTGTCTTTGTTCAAAACCGTTTTTTGTATACAGTGATATTATATCATTAAATTCAAATTTCATACCATCCATTATACAGTGACTCACTTTAACCTACCGTACAGGAGAGCGACATCCACTTTTTAGTTGTTATTTATCCCTATTATTTCGACAAGTAATGTAAAATTTGTAGTTTTAAACTCTTAAAAGTACCAACCAGATCCAATTTGCTATCAGAAACCATTTTCAAAGTCGGAAATTGAAACATTTTTTCTACTACTTTTCGTGTATTTAGACACAAAAAATTAAAAAAAACTAAAAAAACACATTCGTAAAATCAATAAAATTGCTCAGCTCAGATTCAAAAAATTACCAAACCACGTAATATAATATTTTTTTTTGTAAAGTTTGTAAGTTTGTGAATGTATTACATTAAGGACTTGGAAAATAAGCGATCTTCTTTTTGAAGGGATGAATCTGATTAGTTGTTCGCTTATAAAATCACAATACTCATACTTATTTCCATCATTACCTTAAATTCATATTTATGTGTATACCCTATAGTTAATTTGCAAAAATACCACTTTATGCATACATTGTTATTATTGGACAGTTATAAGACATGGTTGGAATTTAAATTTAAGCAAAAAAGATATTGTTGTTTATAGATTAGATAACTATAATTATTAAATATTAAAAAGTTATGCAATATCATTAATTTGTTTTTGTTTAATATATTATTTAAATATAGAAGCTTGACTAAGAGAATCACTTGTTGCTGGCATGTTATCATCAAATATTGAAAGAAAAATAGATCTCAGTTCACTATTCTCGTGGTAAGTAATTTTATAAAACTATAAACATTTTTTTTTGTTTATTTGAAATATAATATATAACTATATAAGTTTATACTTTAGATACTGGGCTTAATGATCATTCACCACGCTTCAACAAAGAAAAAGATACAACAGCTAAAATGGCGAATTATTGGTTAGAAATAATTTTTTATAAATATGAATAAATTTAACCTAAAATTATTTTTACTATAGGTTAAATGAAATTGGCAAAAGTGATTTTTCCACCAAATTATCAAGAACTCTTTACATTGGTAACTTAAATGAAAATATTAATGATGCTACATTATATAAATATTTTGGAGAATTTGGAGATATTATTGTATGTACATTTATATACATTTATTTGTACTTTTATAGTATTGTTTATTTGTATTAATATATTTATTTTTGATTACAGAGCATTAATATTAAAAAGGGAGAATATGTTGGTGATAGACCATTAAAAATATATGCATTCATTAAATACTTTGATAGCAAAAATGTAATTTTTGCCATACTTAAAATGAATGGTGTAAATATAGAAGGTTGTTGTGTACGTTTGGGTTTTGGAAAAACATATCCATCAAAATGTGTTTGGATCACCGGTATTGATGAATCAGGAAACAATTCTAATTTTCTGCTGGCTTTTTTAGCTGATTGTGGCACCATTATAAATTATTCGATTGATCGTATAAATAAACGGGCTTTAGTATATTATAATGAGGTAAAATTTGATCTTATTATTTATTTATTAATTTTAGTATATGTTCGAAATTTAATAAGATGTCAAATACTTCTAAATTGTTAGAAAAAACCATTTTACTTGAAAAACAACCACTTAGGATATAATCATAGTTGAAAACATATTAGACAATAACTTAAAAAAATGCCAGTAAGTGGATGTTGCTCTGCTGTACGGTAGGGGAATTTTCACTTAAAATCGGCTTTCAACAAAATAGATTTTTGTTTTTGGTGTAACTCTTTTGAAATGTTTAGGAACATTTTCAGTTTCCAGTTTTTTTAGTCTTTTTTTTTTTTTATCAATGTCAATAAAACTTTATTTGTTGGGTAAAAAGCTTGAAAATTTAATACAATCCTGATATATTGTGACAATAGCAGTTGAAAAGTATTTAAAATACAGTCTCAATTTTTTTATAAGTATTTTAAGTTCGAATTTTTACAAAATTTATCAAATTTAAATCTTAATAATTAATTTGTAGTTAAAAATTTATAAAATGTTGAACTTTATTGTAACTAAGAATTGAATATTTATAACAAGGTTTCAAGGTTTCATTTAATAGGTTATATTATATAAATTACTTTATTCACAATAATGTCATTAAATATACTTAGTAATACCATAGGCTGACTGACCGCCTTCGTTCAGAATCGTTTTTCTTATCCAAATATCTTATGATATTATACCATTGAATTCAAATTTAACACCATCCATTACAGTGATCCACTTGTAACCTACTGTACAGTAGAGTGACATCCACTTGCCCACCTTTTTTACCATAAAAGTATTGTAACAACTTATTTATTTATTTGCATTAGTGTAGTCATCATTTTGAAAATCTTCTCAAAATTTCTAAAATAATTTTTTTTTTTTATGTTTCAGATTGTAAATGCAGAAGCAGCTATTAATAAAATGAAGCATTGTTTTATAAATGGTGTTTATTTGCGTGGTGATTATGCATCTCTTGAGTGTCAAATAAAATTTGCTGAATTCTTCAATAAGCAAAATGATAAAAAACATTTATCAATAGACCTGGATAATATTGACATTCAAAATACATTCATTTCTAACGTTAATAAACAAAAGTAAGTGAAATTCAATGGAAGCTTATCAGAGATTTTTATAATTTCCCTAAAAATGGTTTGCATAATAATTGTTCCTCACAAGTTTTCATCCTTTGTTTTTCATATCTGTAATTTTTCACATTTATCAAACACTAGTTTTAGCTTTGCTTGAGTCTAAATGCTTGAATTACCAAGTGCTATATAATATGTTCACCATTATTTTTTTCAAAGGGTTACAGTCTTTGAGACGAGCCCTCTTAGTAATTTCTCTCCATCTATCTCGATCTTCTGCTACTACTTACTAATGTACTCTCCTAATTCCTCTGATCCTGCAACTCTTGCTATACTGTCTTCCAGTGGTAAATTCTCCAGGCATGCTTTAAAATAAAAATATAAAAATTATTTTTTCCTCTATTTCTGTTATACTTCTCTGTGTTTATCTTTATCCTAACATTTACTGATATAGTATGCGATAGTGGTGTGGGCAAACTATACTTCGCTCATTATCACTGTAAAATACTAGTTATTTTGAGAACTTTAGCCAAGGTACTAACCATCCAGAGCATGCTCAGTTAGTTGGGCTTTGTCAATGAATTTTGTAGTATAATTTAGGTGTACGAATATATGACAATTGTTCTTCATTATGTTTTGTTATTTTCTGTGCTATTTTTCAATATTATGTAGTGTTAAGTACTATGTAACTTAAATTATAGACGTTTATTTAGTAAAATATTAGATAATATTTTGAATCAAATTAGGAGTAGATTTGAATCAATGGGAAAGTAGGCGTTTTTTCCATTACTCAATTCTGAGTTGAATCAAAAAAAGTATTTCCTGTTAATGAACTCATGTGTTTAGAGAAACAGTACAGATGTTTCTTTGATATTTTCTGGTTAAAAAATGAGTTACATGTTTTGTACAGTTCAGCAGAACTTAAAGATAAACCAATTTTCGAAATAAACAAATACATGAATTTAAATAAACTAGACTAAAGCCTGGAAGATGTATATATAAGCTGGCTAAATTAATTGGAACCATTTAATGTACAACCGCTTCTTTAAATATTCGCTTCTTCACATATTCTTTAGTTAAAACAATTAGTGACTAATTGTTAGTCAAATCTTTATTAAAATTGGTAAAGTATTAAATTAATGTCTTTTTTATAAATTATCCAAACACATTATTTAATTTAATAAATATATTGTATTACAACAAGCTAAATCATGAAATGCTATGACAATATTCCATGTATTAATTTTGGAGAATATTCAATTTTTCCAAACATTCACAACTAAATTAGTAATTATTTGAACATTTCTAATCAATATTAGTATATGCGCCAAATGAAGTAAAAAAAAAAAACTTATTGCAATAATTTACATTAAGTGTCAATAACCTCTAAAAAGTTAAAGAACACTGCCTGAAGTTATTTTTATTCATCAAATAATACTTAATATATTATTAGTTTAAAATAAATTCTACATAACTATACCCAATAACCAGTATAACCTTAATTTTTAATCATTGGATGTGTAATTTAGAAGTAAGTTAACGCTAGTAAATTTTTCAGAAAATTAGTTAGCTGCATAATTAAATATTATTTATATGTTATTTTAAAGATATCGAAACCCAAGTCACATATACTTTAAATTCATAGATAGCAGGAGTGCGTCGTTATTATATGTCCTAAATAACCTATACTATATTAGGAGTATAGTAAATACGATATCCATACCTACATAGTAATATTATTGAAATATATAATTGATAATCAGTGTATGACTATTTACCTCTAGCAAATATGTAAACACTGTCAACAGTATGTGTTTTGTTATACAATAATTGGCTTATGATGGTCTATTATTATTATTATTATATTCATCTGCCTAATTAAATGTTTATACTTTATTGTATTATTTTTTTAAGTTGATAATTAACTATAAATTCTATTGTTAAATTTTAAATTTGAATATCTTACTAGTCGCATAAATAGTTATCTATTTTTAATTAATAAGTTTCAAAAAAAAAAAAAAATAATAATAATAATTAGATTGAAAATCCATATAATATTTGTTTTACTTTTATCTCTCTTGCAATATTTGCTTTTTGTAAACTGTACTACTTTAATTTTGTGTTACAGAGTTTAAAAATAAAATTTACTTAGGTACACTAACACAGTGGTTTTTAACCAGTGTATTATGCTTATGCCTATTTCTGTAATGAGTGTTGCTCAAAAAAATTGTTTATTTATATTGTACCTGTTCAAAGTATAAATATAATAAGACAGTATTATGACGTCATGGTAAAAACCACAGAAAATAAAAACAAAGTGAATTATAAAAATAGTCTCATTCTCAACTTACATATAAATTTATAACTGTTACTTTTAAAAAATCCATTAAATATTTTAAGTGTCGTTATTGTTATAGTTCTACATTAGGGTGTTGTCTTAATAAAAGGTTAAGAAGCACTGCATGTCGCATGAACATATACAACAAATGTTCAACTATTAATGGTTAAATTTGCCAAATGATTCACTTTATTTTGTTTTATTATTTAAGTTATGCTTGCTAGAAAAATATTGTAATTAAGTAAAAAATGATGATCTTTATCTTATTAAAATTATTATTATTTATTTTTATCTACCAACTTTTCAAGCATGTTAAAAAAGATAAAGTATTAGTTTCATTGAAATTCAAATGTTATATTTCTTATTGCTACAGCAATTATAATTTGTATATAATATCTAGGTTAGCAGTAAGTCATTATGGCGAGGCAGATAACACATATATTGCTTCCAAGGAATTTACATCAGAAATTACCTGTATATGGGTTGATGGCATTGCAGATTCAGTCACTAATGAATATCTGGAATCTCATTTTAGTCAATTTGGACCTATTCATAAATGTTTAATTAACCGATTCAACAAATGTGCCTTGTTGTATTTCCAAGAGGTAAATTTTAATATTAATTATATTTTTATTGATTTACATACACATTGCATATTACTACAGTCATCACACAAAATTTGTAGAATTTAGGTACTGAATATTCTGATTCATTAACATGTTAACATGTTTTAATTAAAGCGATTTTCAGTAGTTGTTTTTTAAAGTAAAATGTCAATGATGATTAAAATGGTATTTTTATATTTTAGATTTAGAGTGGAGCAATGAATATATTGACTTTATAATAAATGTTTATATTTTTCCTCTTGATCATCAGTCATCACCTTTTTGATCTTAGTTTTTTTTTTGTTTTTCATAAATATTATACTTGTAGAGTTTTACGTATATTATTATATTTTATACACATACTAACATTTTAAAATATTTAAATTCATCTAAAATTTAATAATTACAACATTTTACTCAAATATTGACTCAAAAATGAATAACAATAATATATGATACTAGCTGTCCTGCCCGACGTTATCCAACCAAAGATTTGTATTTTTAATAAATATGTTTGTATAAGATTTATACACCATATTTCTTCTAATTTATTATAATATAGCTGATCCTGCACACTTTGTTGCCCGTAAAAATGGTCAAATCTTATAAAAATTATGATTGTCAACTCCTTTTGGGTGTACCTAGCTGAAGTATATTAAGCAGGCATTAACCAAAAATTTGATTGTATGCATCCTTGATCTGTCCGATTTACCAATGGTCAACCATTTACAAATAAAATACTAATATCTACTAATTATTATTTCTCCTATAACCAATAGCCAACCATTTATAAACAAAAATTTCCATTATTAACCACAAAATCCCTGTTTGAGCACCTCTCCGGGTTGGACCAAATCTAAATCTAAATCTTCCAGGGAACCAATCAAAACCACACAAAAAAATTCATCAAAATCGGTCCAGCCGTTTAGGAATGCATAAAGAACACACTGACAAACATTCATTTATATATATGGATATCATTGTTATTATTTTTAACTACTCAATTAATTTCTCCAAAACAAATTATACGTTAAAACCTTCCTTGTGACCACCTTATCTATTAGTGAAAACCGTATTAAAATCAGTTGATTACTTTTCGAGATATGAACGTACATACAAAAAAGGGACATTACTGAAGTTTAAGTAGGGATCAATAATTTTTCTAGTAATAAATATAGCCTATGATACTCAGGGATAATGTAGCATTCTTATGGTGAAAGAATTTTTGAAATCTGTCCAGTAGTTATTGAGTTTATTTGTTACAAACATACAAATCTTTCCTCTTTATAATAAATTGAAAAAATTCTTATCGATTTGGAAAATAGAAAATCATCATTTGACTATATGATTTAATTTAGTGATTGTAAAATGCCTCATCAATTTTTTTTATCAATTGAATAGGGATATAAAAGTCTCTGGGATTGACTAGGTATAGGTTTGGTTAAATATCTGTAAATTAGGTACTTAGTTTGTGTAAAACAATTCTTTTGTCGATATAAAATATTAAATAATCTAGGTATTGAATGAAATCATAATAATATTTAAAAACTGTTATTGTTATTATTCAAAACAAAAAGTTTTCGATAATAGCGAAAACTTTATATGTGTTACATAAATTATTATAATATGTTATATTTTGGTTTTCTATTTTCGATCAGGTGTTCAACCAGATCTATATTCAATGTATGAATAAGTTTACTTAATGATAAACTCATACTCAAAATTTTTCACAGAAGCTGCTAGTATAAATTATAGTTGTATTATATCCCACAGCAATTGGAATGCTCTTGATAAAAAAAAAAACCAAGGATGCGGGGGGGGGTACAACCCCCAAAACACTCCCTGGGTAGTGGGTACACTACTGACTTCAAACAATTTTTGAAATAAACATTTTTACCGTTATGAAATAGGTGTGTAGAACTGTTAAATTGTAAAATATTTAGGTTATAAATATTAATATAATATATTTGTAAGGGATTATGTAAGGAAGATGTTATATTTGTAACAATCCTGACACCGTATTATTAACACTGGCCTGTGATTAGTATTCATTTGAGCTTGACTTCATGTGATGTGCAAGTATCCCTGTGTTACTTCATGTTCCATTAAATAAAGAGTACTAGTACATCTCGCACTATTATTATTAAGATTACATACCTTGTGTAGCATCACAAACTTACTTGGTAGTATATTTTATATTGTATGAGTTCTTTGTGTTAGACGTTGTGGATTCTGTGTTACTGTGTTTTTTTAAGATTTCTCAAATTAGTTCATAATATATACCTTGAATAAAATAGATAATTTATGACTTTACTAGTGAATGCAATACTTATAAAGCAGTATGTGATAAAAAGTAGTCAAATTTTATTATGATATTTGACCATATAGCCTGGCAAAATGTGATCAGTACAATCAGGATTCTTTCATACTACTGATATCTACTGCAAAATCTTTACACAATAGTTTTTCTTCTCTTTAAAATTGCTTACCATAATATTATGTATAATAACTTTATTCTTTTTTTTTTTATATAATTTATCAATATTTGTATAACCATGTTGAAGCTGCGACTTGACATTATAAACCTATGATAATAATAACAATAATACATCACCATATACTTCTTTATAATAGTTATGATTAGATATAGGATAAAATAACACACAAAAATGCCTTAAAACTACAAAAAAACTACCAAAAAAATTATGTAATAATCTATAATATAATATAAGTGAAAAAAATATAATTAAAAAATTATTATTATTATTATTAGAGATATAGATTTGATAATGGGTGTCAGTAATTTAAAATATGTTTTGTACAATTAATGAACAATAGGAAACATTTCAATTTTAAGGTTAATTTACAGTAAAAAAAATATGTGAAATTATTAAAATTATTAAAATTAAATTTAAAAGTAATATAGAAATAAAAATAACAAATTAATAAAATAAAAACCCACAAATCTAAAATTTGAGAAAAATTCCCTACATTGTACAAAAACTACAACAAATGTTCTATGATATGAAAAAATATTTTTAAAAATGATATTAAAAAACAAAAAAATGTATTTATAGCTAAAAATGTGAAGTAAAATAAGTATATTATTCTGAATCAAGGGAGCATAAAACAAATTCTCAGCTAAAATACCATTTTATATGATCAAAGCAAAAAGAGGTGGGAAAGTGGGTGTTGATCTACTGTACAGTAGGTTACAAGTGGGTAACTGTAAGGGATGGTGTTAAATTGAATTCAATGATATTGTTTGTACATTCGTTGTATAAGAAAAACAATTCTGAGGGAATATGGTCAGTCTATGGAATATAGTCAGCCTAAAATATTATTAAGTATATTTGATGATATTATTCTGAATAAATTAATTTATATACAACCTATTTACGTGGAACCTTGTTTTAAATTTTCAATCCTTAGATATAAAAGTTGAACATTTTATAAATTTTTAACTACAAAATAATTATTAAATTTTAAATTTGATAAATTTTATCATAAAAATTCAATTTGATTTGCTTGTAGACATTTTTTTTCACGTTTTTCCTTATCCTATCAGAAAAGATACTGTAGTAAAAAATCTAAGACCGTTTACTGTCCTAAAAGATGATGACAGACACAAAATTAAAAAAAACATACCATTGTAAAATCAATACATTCATTGCTCCGCTCAGAATCTAAAATGTAAAAGTCATCAACATTCTATCTCTAGGTATGATGTTTAACTCATATTATTCTAAATGACTAATTTTTTTAATTATTTATTTTACAGGAATTACATGCACAGTCAGCTGTTACTGCAATGAATGGTAGCTATATAGAAGGTAAACAAGTTTATGTTCGTTTAGCATCTTTAAAGTGTCGAGCTTGTGATGTACCTAATATAAATAATAATAATGTCACTATTCAGCTAAGAGATAACACGGCTCAATCATCACCTTACAGTGCACTTTATGTAGATCCTTCTTGCAAATGTTCAATTAATGATGAAACTTACCCGATAAACATCAGTGATCCACGCAATAGTTCAATTAATGTTCATAATGCTCAGTACACATCACAGGATAAATATTTAAAAACCTATAATATTGACATTCCTACTTCAAAAACAATTTATATAAACAACAGTTCAATTACAATAAAATTCAACGAGTATCCACCAGAGAGACTCAAGTCTCCGACACAATATGCTAATTCTGATATATTATCGCTACCATTGCCAGAGTTTGCTAAGAATATTTCTAAGGAACTGACTAGCACATCTTCAAGGTATTCGCTATCATCTAACGCTTTTGGTAATCAAGATACATATACTTTTAATGTACATCACAATGAGATGATAAACTACGGCTTACGGAAAACGGATAACCAGGATAAAAAGCAAGAACAAAATAACAATCATCCACATACATCTGATGCAATAAATACTGATTTTGTCAACCCTATATCTAAAGATTCAGATAGGAATAAAACATTTTTAGAAATAGGTTATAAATTCCGGGATGAGTATCCTAAGGATCAGGAGACCCCAAGTAACTGGTTAACTAATACATCAAACTATAATTGTGTCGAAAAACTTGACCATTGGTGTTCAAGTGAAACTAGTAAAAAAGAAAAAGAAGGCCAAAAAAATGTACAAAGTAAACAAAAATCTTTGAATGGATTTGTTGCAGAAAATTCCATTGAATTTGTCGTTCAACCAAACTTTGTTGATGTAGAAAAATCAACTAATATTGATGAAGAGAAGATAGATAATGATATTTGCGAAACAAGTATTGCTAACATTTTACTAACTTTGAAAACAAATTACCAAAATAAGATTATACATAATGAAACCAAAGATAAACAAAAAAATACAAATTGCAATAAATTAGCAGGCAGTATTTCAAATAATGGAAATAATGAAAATAATAAATCTGTTTATTATAATCATGTTAATATAAATGAATATAAAAATAATGAATCTCAAAATATTTCCAGTACTAGATCAATGGGATACAAAAGTCACAATATTAAATCTAATAAAATCCAAGGTGAAGCAGAAAAAACAAATGTTAATGAATATATTAGCAAAGATTTGAAGATTAAAAAAAATAAAGAATTTAAAAAACCCATATTATATTTTGATAATCATGAAAAAAAAAACAACTGTAAAAAAACAATTTTGGATTCTAAATCAACAGAACCTACATTTAGCAAGTGCAGTCTATTTGAGTTTGACATGTTTAAAATAAAGCAGACTATTAATAAAAAAAAAGAAACAAAGAATAAGGATTGCAAGTTTAACAAAGGACCTACAACTATTGAAGAAGAGAAACAAAATTTAAATATACTTAAAAGCCACGAGAATTCAAGAAAAGATTATAAATATAAAAAAAAAGAAGATCTACATCAAAACTATTCTTGCTTCAAATTCGATATCAATAATGACAATAAGTCTACAAAATATATTAAAGAAGTTGATGGAAATATCACCAGCAGTCATTGCTCCACAGAGAATTCATTAAAAAGGAGTCTTAGTAATACCTCTGAATATCATAACGATTCTAAAAGATGGAAAACAGATAATAAGACTTATAAAAATGATTCTACAAAAACTTCAAAACATCATTCTCAATTGTCAAAACCAAGCAAAAATATTCATAATAACTCGAAGCCAGAAAATAAAAAGAGTAAGCTAAATAAAACTCCGAATCAACCTAGAACTCGAGGATGGACCAACGGATTTTCTATGTTTGACATTTTATCAAGTAAAAATTAATATTAATAAGTAAATAAACAAAGTTTGATGATCTAATACAATCAGTATTGGAATTCTTATGAGTTATGATAGTATTAAGGTTTAAGCTCAGATGATTTTGTGGTTCCCATTCATAATTATACTACTAAATAAGATGAAACTATATCCATTAGTATATATTCTATATTTATTAATTTTATTAAATATTTTTGTTTATTAATCTGTATTGTTATTTATGAACTGAAATTCAAATATAGTACAAAAACTATGGAAATAAGAACTATATTAATTAATGTATTATAATTTTTATTTGTATAATTACAATTTTTTTTCCACATATACATATTAATATATTATAATACATAAACAATTTTAATTCAGAAATAAGATACAATCAATGGAAATAAATATATTTAATTAAAGATAAATTAACTATAATGTTTGTATTTGTAAGAAACTCTAATATATTGATATTTTAGTAAAGTGATAATATCATGACAAATAAGTTGTAAATTCGGTTATTGCTGACATACCTATTTTATTTGTCATGGATAATATTATGATTAAGTACCTAATATTATTATTTATTATGTATATCTGTGGTTTTAACATAGACACATTGTTGAATCACACAATGCCAGAGACTTCTAACCTCTAATAGGTAGGAACTTACTTTATAGTAGGTATCAAGGCTGTAACTGGAACAAATTTTCGGAAGGGGTTTAAAACCAAATCTTATCTATACATATAAAATCCAAATACCGCTGACTCACTCATCACTATCTTCAACTTGTTTTTTTTTGTTTTTAATTTTGCACGATATGAATATGTACAATATGGATGAGCAAATGACGAATAGTATATTTTTTTTATATTTATTCAATAATATTGTAAGTAGTTTTTTTCAGATATTATAATTGATTAGTGTATAGTTACTTATTAGTTAATATATTATAAAATTAATTATCTACCTTATATAAGGGTATAAGTCAAGCTTATATTAAAGCATAGAACATTAATGTTCTATAGTTGAAGGTAGGGAAATACAATTTACTTAAATACAAAATATGCAAACTATATGATGAAATAATACAACAACATAACCAGTTAATAAAAATACTTCTTCCATTATTTTATTTACAGACCTTATTGTTCCTATACTAAACGACCAAGTGACCAACTACCTACATTATTAAACAACAAAATATATACGTAAAAATACAATATCCAATTTTCTATATTTTGTGCTAGAAAGTCGGAAATTTCGATTGCTTCTGGTTAAAGTAGTACCTATAAATTCTAAATCTTATAAATAAGTTTAACAAATATTCATGAGGTACCTACTTGTTCACAGGGATGTTCAAAGTACACATTTAACATTAAAGTTTTAATTTTTGCCCTACTTATGGTACCTAATAGTGCTAATGTAGGAAATTGATTTGTAAATATAGTGTCTAATTCAAAAACATACTGCTAAAAATTACAATCTGGGGTCACTAACGATGAAAACATAGATACAAAAATGTGTTGATGTGATTTGAAGTGTCCGAAAAAAAGTTCATCGGATAACTTTGATGTTAGATTGGGTTAGATTAAGTTGATATATGTATGGTAAAATCATAAAATAATATAGGTCTCGAGCGGTCTGTTTTGGCGATAAAAGAGTACCTAACATCATGCCTAACCGCCAAGCTTACACATAAAGCAGACCGCCCCGAAATAAAAACAAATTAAAGAGGAGGGGTGGACGGAGACAACACATGAGCAGTAGCGTCATTTCAGTTTTCAATAGAGGGGGGCAAAGGTTTTGACCAGCCCGAATAGGTAAAAAAAAAGTCTTTAAATTTAAGTCTGAGACTGTCTTTTTATTAAATACACCTGAAATTGTTTTCGATTTTTGTGCTGTTTGAGGTAATTTTATATTTTTAACCACACCACCCATTTTTTTTTTAAGTCATATTTTTCTCAAATTGAAAGATTAATCGCGTCACGAAAAAAAATAAATTTTAATTTAGGTAGGATAAGGTACACCGTACACAACTAAATACACAATACGCAGAATAGTTGAATAGTTTACCATAGTTAACACGACTGTCGCAACTCGTAACTGAAGTCTAGGATCAATAGACAATAAATAATAATAATTAATAAGAGTGCCAATCGGTTGTTGTTTTTAGGATTTGTATTAATTTTTAGATTTTAGAAATAAAACCATACGGCCGTATGGGATTACGATACTAATATTATTATTATTGTTATACACTCACACAGACAAACATACATAAATCCATAGATTCCTACATACAATGTGTACCTACATCCCCGCATACGTCTGAATATAAATATATTCCAATTTCCAACTATCAATTATTAAAAGTTTATAATAATTAATAAGTACTAGAGTAATACGAACATTTCTGTTATTTTTTTTTGATAATATTATTTTATATTTAGATATGATAGACATAATATTTTATGTCCATTATTAAATTGCTATTTAGTACCTATTTGATATAAAAAAGGTGAGTAAGTGGATGTCGCTCTGCTGTACAGTAGGTTACAAGTGGGTCACTGTATAATGGATGCTTTTAAATTTGAATTCAATGATACAATATCATTGTATAAGAAAAACGATTCTGAGCGAAGACGGTATGTCAGTCTAGGTTTAAGACAAATTATATACATATCTATGGAATTAAAAAAAAAATTTACTTATAATAAATTCCAAATTAATTATATCACATTATCACAATATCCATTAGGTACTTATAACATGTTATACATCAACATCAATAACAAACCCTGATACTATCATAGATATATAATAGTACACTTTAGAAGTTTCAAGTAGGTCCCCACGAATAATATTATATAATCACAACAAAATAACTAGGTTTTTTAATATGTAATTTCGTCCAAATTTGTACATAAAATGACTATAAAAATAAACTGTGATTGTATATTTTTTAGATTTTTCGGTAAGAGAATTAATTACTTACGTGGAATCTTATTTTTCATTTTCAATCCTTAGCTATAAAAACTGAACATTTTATAATTTATTAATTACGATGATTAATCATTTTCGAGATTTTGAAAAATTCTGTCAAAATTCGATGTTTAAATGCTTATAAAAAAAAATTGTGCCTATGTATTTTTAATATTTTTCAACTGATATTGTAACAATATATCAGGAGCCTTGTATTAAATTTTTACACTTTTTGGCCCAGCAGATAAAACTTTATTGATATTCATAGAAAAAAAAACTAAAAAAATTGAAAAATGAAAATATCCGTAAACAGCTCAAAAAGAGTCAAAACATTTTCATAATTGTATGGTGTATATTTACGAATTCTTAACTCAAAATAATTTGCTAATTTTTGTGATTTTTCCATAATTTGTCAATTTTTGAACTTTAAATACTTATAAAAAAAAACTTTGACTAACGATTTTTAATATTTTTCATCTGCCTTTGAAACAATATAGTAGGAGCCTTCTATTAAATTTTCAAGATTTTTTAACCAACAAATAAAATTTTATTGATATTTCTAGAAAAAAAACTAAAAAAAAATGAAAATGTCCCTATAAACAGTTCAAAATAAATCAAAATATTTTGAAAGTGTTATCATGTATAGAAAATGCAAATATAAACAACCAGTGAAAATTTAATGTATCTAAGGTCATTTGTTTTAAAGTTACACCAAAAACCAAATTCAATTTTCTAAAAAATCGATTTTGCGTAAAAATTCCCGTTTTTCCTTAATTTTTCTTTTGTTTTTCTTGGCGCTTTTGAAAAGTACTGGGAATTTTAAATTTTGACCTCCCAAATGCACCAACGATATTCACTTTCCAATCGAACAAGATACTGAAGACGAAAATCGAAGCATTATTTCGACTACTTATCGTGTACACAGACACAAAAAAAAAAAAAAAAACATACTTCATTGTAAGATCAATACATTCATCGTTTCACTCAAAATCTAAAATTAATATTTGTAAAATTATTAATTGAGATGTGTATAGTTTATTATTTAATAATCATGTTAAGTAAAATAGGTATATAGGTACATTGTACAATATGATAAAAGTACGATTAAATTGTTTATTATAATTTGGAAAATTAGAAAGAATGTAGTCCACTCTTTTTGTGATCCACATACCTACTAATTATTAAAAAGTAGATACTTAAATTTTTTTAAACTGGGTTAAGTTTATATGTTTTCCTTATTAAGAGGACGCCACACCCGCATGTGTTGTCTCCGTCTTACAAATGTACAACATACCAAAAACTCTTTTGCGAGGGACAACTTTTCTCGCACCATATTTGTTGTAGAACTACCAAATTTTCACAGCACTTAAAGAAGAACTTTATCTGTGCAACAGCGTGCTCTTTTTTTCAATAACATATATACAATACAAGTTATTTGCTTCTAAACATTTGGTTTTTTAATTTGCTTATAAAAAATGATTGGATGGTGCTATTGAAAAAAAGAGCACGCTGTTGCACAGATAAAGTTCTTCTTTAAATGCTGTGAAAATTTGGTAGTTCTACAACAAATATGGTGCGAGAAAAGTTGTTCCTCGCAAAAGAGTTTTTGCTATGTTGTACATTTGTAAGACGGAGACAACAAATGCGGGTGTGGCGTCCTCTTAACTTTTATCTTACCTATCGAGTTAAATCTATGATTTGTTAACTGTTAATTTCTAACTTATCGATCTCGTGTTCTTTTAACTTTTAAATATTAACTTAATTTGAGTTAATTACTTTCATTAACTTGCCCTACTTTAAGTTGCGTAGTAGGTAGTAAGATAGCCAGTTAGTACATTGGTTCTAGGTAATAGGTATTTACGTATCTTTGTATTTACCTATAGTTGAATCTTTCAAAATATATTGCCAATTAATAACATTAATTTAAAATATGCATTATTTAACTGATGTTTAAGTACCTACTCGAGTTTCTAAGTAGGTACCTATTATATTTTTTCATAATAATTAATGGAAAATGAACCACATTATATACTCA